GGAAGGAAACCCTCAACGTTATATGAAATCACATATAAGAGGTTGTGAGGGGAAAGGGGGGGGGGAAACAAGGGAGAGAACTGAACAACAACAGATTAGGTAGAGAGGGAAGATGGGAGGGGAGGGGAGGGGGAATAGTAGCGGATAGGAAAGGCAGCAGAATACAACAGTCACTAATATGACATTATGTAAAAATGTGGATGTGTAACTGATGTGATTCTGCAATTTGTATTTGGGGTAAAAATGGGAGTTCATAACTCACTTGAATCAAATGTATGAAAGATGATATGTCATGAGCTTTGTAATGTTTTGAACAACCAATAAAAAATGTGAAAACAAAAAATAAATAAAAATAGTAATCAAAATAAAAAAATCAGAGGAAATCAGTCAGTATCTCTGGATTAGAGCCCAAAACTGTTGTTTTTTTACAAAGCATTTATTACATTTCCCTAACTTCAAGACAATTTTGAATGCATCTAATGATTTATTCAAAGCTATTGCAAAATAAAAAAGAATATTTACCTTGTATATGTTCATTAATTCACAGGCTGTATACTCCTTAGTCTTATTCAGAGGCTTGAATTTGATATCTGAAGGACGCTTTRCAGTGTAGGTGAAAGGGCCTGATAAAGTATCCAAATCATGAGTACCAATGGCAACCAATGCTCTTTTCCTAAATGTTGAGAGGAAGAAGGAAAGGAGGAGGGAGGAAAGGAAATGAAAAAAGGGAAACAGATCTGAATATTTCAAAGTAGAAATTCTAAAACTAACACTATGTATTTTAAAAACTTAAACATTTCCCTAAAACAGCACTTTCTATTATATGGCATCTTTACTAGATTATAATAAATTCTTACAACTTTTCAAGTACTAAGAAACTACAAAGCTACTTAAAACACACTTCAGTATGTGAAGCAAATTCCATGTCTCTGTGATTTCCCAAGTGCTATGTTACTAGGACAGCTTCAAAGTCAGCATTCCCTTTACCTTCCTTTAACTGATCTCTTCTTGGTGTCCTCCAGTAAACATAAATTATATATTGGATTAAAATAAGCTACTTAGTTATTGTGGGTTTTTCTTTTCTTTTCTTTTTTAACTTTCTCTATTTTCTTAAATTTTCTGTCACAGCTGTATTACTTGATTTTAAAGCTATGAATTACATTTCAAGTTTACTGTGTAACAAAGTTCAAAAGCTATTAATATCAGTTATCTTATAATTTATCCACAAAGAATTTAAGGTAATTTTAGGAATTTATAGTAAGCTACAAAATAGAAAAGAAAAAAACAGAAATAGGGATATAAAACAAAGTTAGGAAATGTAAAACTAAATTAGAATCTAAAGGCCTAAATCTTACCAGGGAGGGTCACAAATTTAAATCTACGTTTTTTAATAGTCAATTAATTCAAAAAGAGAAATTTGGCCAGAACTTGTGTTAAGATTTCTTTAAATTAGTTTAACATATATGTGTACACATATTTGAGTATTTATGAATTACTACACATATAACTACAACAGAAAATGTATAATATTAAATTTTGATCAAGAGTGGTGAACTACAACTTTATAAACTATGGTTAAATAGAACTGCAGGCAAGCAAAAAGAAAGTGTTACTTTACTTAATGAATTAGGTGCTTGTGGAAGACGATAAACAGAACTACCATATGATAAAATACACATGATTCAGAAAATTTAGATAAATTAACAATTGCCAAATCCAAAGGTAAGAAGGTAGAGACTTGTCAGTCATAGAAAAAAGCACTGCTTGATCAATTAAAAACAGGAAAAGAAGCAAAAAATAATGGGGAAAAAAAAAAATCAATGAAACCAAAAGTTTGTTCTTTAAAAGAACAATAAAATTGCTAAACTTCTAGCCACACTGACAAAGTAGGGGAAAAAAGAAGAGGTGAGATCACTACAGATACTAAAAGGATAGTAAGAAAACATTATGAACAACTTTATGGCAATACACTGAAATGGATATATTCCTTGGAAAACACAAATTTCTAAAACTCACTAAGAGGTTAATTAGTATTTACTGAAAGGAAATGACTCGAGCACACTGGACTATTAGGATGTGTTCTCTTCTTTCCTTAAGGAACGCTGATGGCTTCGAGAAATACTATATAGAACAGAAGTTGAGTTTCACTTCACAAGGTGGCAGATTAAGAGCACCCAGCACTTGCCTGCTTCTCCATGAGATAGAAATGAAACAACTGGGATGCAGCTGCTTTTTCAGGTAAATGATCATGGGGAAAACACTGGAGTTCAATAGTGGACAGACAGACTTGGAGAAACCTAGAGACTGTGGATAGCGAAATAGASAATGTCCCAGTACCAACTACACAGTAGAGGAAAAGGGAAGCCCTGCTTGGTGGGAGTGGAAATGAAAGAGGGAGAGTTCCAGTGACCATCAATGGCACAGTTTTCAGCAGCTTGCAGAAACACAGTCTAAACAGACAACAGTCCTAAGATTTCCATGGCGAATGGGTTCTAGAGTTCTCTGCACTTCCAAGCATGTTCTCAGTGTTGCAACTGGAAACCATGTTGAGAAGAGCCCTATTGTCTGAGCTTACTACTACTTTAGGAGTGAAAGGCCCCTGCACTTTCCTGTCTCTGAGACCCCTGAGTAACTATCATGGCACTGCTGAGTGAGCAGCAGTCAGTTTCGTCAAAGACTGACACAAACTTGACAAGAGTTCTATCACTGACTGCAGCACGTGGGAATACAGGAAGCACCTGCTTTTGGAATTTGTGGCTTGATAACCCAACTGCCAGAGTCTGGGGAAGTGAGCAGGCATGTGTGATGGCACACAGGACACAGAAGAGGCAACACTGGAATCATGGGCAGATCAGATGGAACCTGCTGCCATACTTGCTCCAACTCCAGCCCCCTGTAGATGTTTTCAACTCCATGGCCTCTCTCCATCTTTGGGGACATACAGCCTCATGCCACAGAGTTCGTGTTACCACATTCTGTGCACAAACACCTCTGGAGACAATCTTGAAGGAGTTCATATGCTGTGCTACTTCCTTGACACACCACGGGAATGGCATCTACCCTGATCTCAACCAGAACAGGCCCAGAGAGAATCTTCATCTGGGAGCTCTGTGATCGGCTCTTCCTCACTGCACCATGCAAAGCAGCTGAGAGACATTCAACAAACTCCTGTAATCAACTGAGAAGCACCAAAAAAGAAAGAAGAGGAGGAGTGAATAACCCCCAGCCTTTGCTCTGTCCAAGAGGCATAGAGCCCAAGAAGACACAGAAAGAAACCTCAATCATCACAGACTACAAATACTCACTCTTTCCTGCTCATTCAAGCACGTTGGCAGAGGAAAAAAAGAATTATTTTTATAAATTTTTGTTGTTGTTGCTATTTTTTTGTGTTTTTTATGTCTTTTCTCCTTTTAAAAATATTCTTTTTCTATCCTTTGTCCTCCTTTTCTCATTTTTTATTTCTGCCATTTTTTTCTTTTATTATTTTTCTAAAATATTATCTTATGGCTATATTATTTTTCCCCATCTATTCCCTTGTTCATGGTGTTATTGTTGCTTCCACTTTATTTCTTTGTCTGTTTTTCTTCTTTTCCTTTTTTTTTTATGGTGGTAAAGATTGGGCCTGGGAATCAAATCTCCCTGGGTGGGGTCTAGGCTGCTGAGCTACATACCCAGCCCAGTTAAAAATATTAACTAGCCCCATTCAAACCTTCTAAGATACTTCAATGTAAATAACAGGAGAATAAAAGCCCTCAGACAATATCCCCCAAGCATGCATGACATGTCCTGCTACTAGAAGCTCGCCCCATAGCAACAGCAGGGAGAAATAGCACAACTGTTCTAGGTACTATCTACAAGGAACTGCATCCATCACTCCCACACCCTACTGTTGACAAGACTAGAGGTGAGTGCCACAGTGGGGAGCTTTGACCCTGGCCCCTGACTCTCCCTGAGAAACAAATGGGATTATACCAATGTCTGCACAGAGTATAAAATCCCAGGCCTATCACTGTAATTGGAATAGCCAGTAGTAGAACTGCTTTCAAGAAACAACCAATATCAACAGAGCCCAAGGAAAACCCCAACACCTGAGAGAGGTGTCCATTCTCAAGGAATAACCAGAGTGTACACCCTACATCCTCTGCTGTTTACACCACACCCATCTTAAGTACCAAAGCGTCCCATCTCCATAAGACTTACACAGAAAGCACGTTCTCAGGCTCCAACATGGTATGCCTGTGTCAAAATACATCGTACAGAAATCCCAAGGAATTCCCAGTTGGAATTAAACTCTACATTACACAATAAAAAGGATACTTATTCAGAAAAGAGCTCTCACATAAAAGTAGAAAATATACCCATCCCAACAGAGGCATAAATCTCCACATAGAAACAACAAAAATGCAAAAAAGAAACAAATTATGTGACACCTCCTGAAGATCAAAACTACCTAATAACAGATGCCAAAGATATCAAAGTGATCCAGGCACAGTGACCCATGACTGTGATCCCAGTGACTTGAGAGGTTGAGGCAAGATAACAATTTGGAGGTCAGCCTCAGCAACTTAGCAAGGCCCTATGCAATACGGCAAGACCCTATCTCAAAAAATAAAAGCTAGGGAGGTAGCTCAGTGGTAAAGCACCCCTGGGCTCAATCCCCACCCCACCCCTACCCACAAAAGAGATCATCAAAGTGAATGGAAAGTTAAACAAAGAGTTCAAAAAGAATTCAAACAAATGGTTTTCTTAAAGTTCAATGCAATCCAAAAGAATAAAAATAATCAGCTGAATTAAAGAAAACAATGCAAGACATAAATAAGCACATTAATAAGGGGACACAGACTTTGAAAAGGAATCAAACAGAAATCTTGAAAATGAAAGTTCAGTAAGTTACATTAAAAAAATTTCAGTAAAAACCTCAATAGACTCGATGAAGTAGACGAAAGACTATTAGAGCTTGAACGGAACTCTGCCAAAATAATACACTGAAACAGGAAGAAAGGAAGAGAGGAAGGAGGGAGGGGTGAGGGAGGGAGAGAAGGAAAAGAAAAGAAGGAAGAGAACACACAGGATCTCTGGGATACCATTAAAAGATCAAATATCTGGGGCTGGAATTGTGGCTCAGTGGTGGAGCACTTGCCCGGTATGTGTGAGGCCTGGATTTGATCCTCAGCACCACATATAAATAAATAAAATAAATGATTCATTGACAAATTTTAAAAATTTCTTTAAAAAAAAAAAGACCAAATATCTGAATGATCACATACTAGAGGGAGAAAAGCCACATGCTGAGAACTGAGGAAACCTATTTATTGATAAAATAATAAAAACCAATCCCAAATTTAGGAAAGACAAAGACTTCCAGATACTAGACACATTTAGAACCCCAAATAGACCTGACCAGAAGAGAACTTCTCCATGACAATATAGTTAAACTGCCAAAAGTACAGAACAAAGACAGAATATTAAAAGCTGCAAGAGAAACACAAGGTCACATTTAAAGGTAAACACATTAGAACAGCAGCAGACCTGGCAGCAGAAACTCTAAAGGCCAGGAGAGAACAGAGTGATGAATAAGAGGAGAAAAAGACCTTCCAAGATAAGTTAAAACTGCTAGAACAGCATGACCATGGGACCAGCATTACAGAAGATACTCAAGGGAATCCTAGATCCTAAAGAAGAATGATTAACACAATCACTTGGGCACAGGAAAAAATAAGTCTCACTAGAAAATTAGACACACAAAAGAAAAACAGGAAAAAAATCAAACATTATCAAAGGAGCAAACCATCAAACCTCAAAGATAAAACAGGAAGAAAATCAAACCTGAAGAACATCAACAAAATGAGAGACAACTACATACCTTTCAATAATAACCCTAAATGTAAATGGTCTTAATTCTCCAATTAAAAGACACAGATTGGCTGATTAGACAAAACAAGATCCAGCAATAAGGTGCCTGTAAAACATTCATCTCACCTACAAAGACATAATCTAAAAGCATATGTAACTGTCAACACATCTTTAGATCAACATGATATAACTTATTCAGGACTAATACAAATAAACTTCATATGTTAGCTCAAGTCTGGGGTTTCTCATCATCAGTAAATATACAGTTTTCATTAGGATTTCTGAAATACTGACATTACTTAAAATACTCCCATTCTTATTTTCCTAGACCTAATGGGTTTAAATATCACTGAATCAAAGAACGTTGTGCAGGAAATGATGTATACTAATGTAGAGATAGAAAAAGTAAAATTAAGTCATTTATACAAGTTTTTTAATCATTTAATTAATTGAACCCAGGGTCTTGCACATGCTAGGCACACATTATACAACTGAGTTATACCCTGAGTCCTAAACTTAAATTTTATCTGTTAATTCATGATTATATATATTCAAAAAGTAAGATCAAGTCAAATTCTTTTTTTTTTCATTTTTAAAATGCTACACCAAATAAAAAAGTGGAATGAATTGAACATAATTTTTCTATGTTCACATATGAATACAACACCAGTGAAATTCCACATCTGAACAACCACAAGAACAGGAGGCTAATTAGAATAAGTTATACTGAGTGTATGTCAAAATACACTCTACTGTCATATATATCTAAAAAGAACAAATTAACAAAGAGAGAAAAAAAATCACCTCATTTAAAAAACAAAAAAAAAAGCTAGACCATACTTTACCACAGCTAATACTTAGCAGTACAATCCATTAATGATTTCAATGACGAAACAAGAAAATGTCCATGACTAGATAATTCTTCTCAAAATTTACTATTTCTCCATGCATGTATCATTTATAAACAGTAACAAATATCTATCTCGGAAAGCAAAGGTAAGCTCTCATATACCATTAGTTTAGAAATGCAAGAGGAAGAAAAGGAAATGGACAGAGGGAGGAAAGGTAAAAGGAACAACAGGAAAAAGGGAGACAGAAAGGAATGGGAAGGAGAGGAGCAGAACAGAGGAAAAAGCAAGGAGGAAATAAGACAAAACAAGAAACCTGCAAATATTCTGATGTAATTTCTCTTGAAGTTCAATGAAGCTGTCATATCGATCTTTAGTAAACTTAATATTCCGGAGAACTGCTGCGACTGCAAAAGGGCGTATTTTAGCTGTCTGCAATTAAAAATACCAAGAGATAGTAAACACTCAAGCTTTTCTTTATAATAATCTTACAATAGAAAGGTAACTGCATACTCCTAACAGTGCCAAAATTCTGATTCCAACAAGTATCTTCATTTACCAATCATAGGAGCAAAATAAAGTGGTAAGCAAGAGACAAAATCACTAGCCTCACAGAATTTACATTTTAGTGAGATTTTTAAAACTTACTAAATAATTGAGAAAAAAATAATTTTTAAAAATAATTTGCTCATCCAGGCATAGTGACACATGTCTAAAATTCCAGGAACTCAGGAGGCTGAGGCAGGAAGATCACAAGTTCAAGGTCAACCTCAGCAACTAAGCAAAGAGGCCCTAAGCAACTTGGCAAGACCCTCAAAATAAAAAGGGCTGAAGACATGATTCAGTGGTTAGGCATCCCTGGATTCAACACCTAGTAACAAAATAAATAAACAAATAAATAGAAAATAAAAATAAACTGCTCAAAGTTTATATTTTTACCAAGATAAACCTCCCACATTTTATCTTTAAAATTTTTGTAACATATCATAATTTAAATATATCTCAAATGTTTATTAATTGATTGCAGTGCTGGGCATCAAACTCTGAGCCTTTTCATGCTAATAAGCAAGCACTCTACCACTGAACAGCAACACTAGCCCTCAAATGTGTTTCATATAAACATTTGGACATTTTCCAAAACCATTTATGGGAAACAGGTACTTTGTTTTCTATTGTTTCTTGGTAATAAGTTGATTATTTTTTTTAAAAGAGCTATAGGCTAAAAACATATCTAAATGATCACAGAAAATCACATTTGACAGAAGGATCAGATTTGTTTCTTTGTCTTCCCCACCTTAAACACACAGAAGAGATTCTTTTGAAAGGGAAAATACTAATTTTTTCTTATTACCTCTTCTGTGACAATCAGTTTTTGAATTTCTCCATTAGGCATTACCCGTTTATATACTGGAGCTTTTATCCTAAAATTAATAATAAAACAAAGTTATTCGTAATTAGTGAAAACATCTGATAAATTGATTACATTCTTTGCTTATAAGTAAAAAGAATGTTTACAAAAATCAAAAGAATTAAGGCAATGAGGAGATGAATTATAGCAGTTAAATATTAAAAATAGGAAAGCAAAAACTAAAAAAGGAAAAAAAGAAAACAAAAACTAACAAACTTTCTAACACTTTAGGTTATTCAAAAAGGTCTCTGGATGCCTAATAATAACAAGTTTTCTATCACTAGAGTTCCAGCAAAGGCTACAAAACCATTAATAGAGCAACTGTTAAAGGAACGGGATTAGTTATTTTTTTACCACAACCATGAGATTCTAAGCTTCAAAGAAAAAAAAACATAGCTTATTAAAAATACAGAATCCCTGGGTCTATTTAGACCTACTGAATCAGAACAGTCAAAACAAAGTTTTGGTAACTGGTGCATTTTGAAAGCATTTCTAGATAATTTTTTCCATTGGTGATTACAAACTACTGTTTTAAGGCAGTGCTTCTCAACCTTCAACGTGTATATAGTCAATTGAAGAGTATGTTAAACCTCAGAACTTGATTAAGTGGATCTTGGATAGAGGCTAAGAATCTGCATTTCTAACAAGCTCCCAATGATGCAGATACTGCTGGTCCATGGACCACACTTTAAGTTGCAAAGGTCTTAAGTTGTTCCTAATTTTGTCTCATAAAAAAAGCATAAGAGCCAGGCACCCAATGGCTCAGGGGGCGGAGGCAGGAGGCTTGGGAGTTCAAAGCCAGTCTCAACAACTGCAAGGTGCTCAGCAACTTGGTGAGCCCATGTCTCTAAATAAAATACAAAATAGGGCTGGGGATGTGGCTCAATGGCCAAGTGCCCCTGGGTTCAATCCCCAGTACCCCCCACGAAAAAATAAAACAAAATAAAAGCACACGAGTTGCCTAGTAAAAATGCAGACTCTGATCAATGTGTTGGGAAACACTCTGAAAGGTTATCCTTTATCCTTATATCCTAAAATGTAAGCATATGATTGTCATGCATGGAACCAATTTATTCAACCCCCAAATTGTAACCACCTTAATCAAATGACCGATCATTATCATTTCACAAAAAGCCATTGTTCACCCAATGATAATTTCAGAATCTATCCCAACAGCTAGCTCTTATTCTTTTGTTACTCATGGATTATGTATAAGTAATTAAAACCAAAAATAATTACTTTTGAGAGCTACTTCTTCTACCCTTTTCACTTTATATTTTCATTAAACTCTATTAAGGGTTACATGCAGAAATAGAAAAGGCCTTAAAAGTCTTCTTCAGCAAGATGTGACGGTTCACACCTGTAATCCCAGCAGCTTGGGAGGCTGAGGCAGGAAGATAGTGAGTTCAAAGCCAGCTTCAGCAATTAGTGAGGCCCTAAGCAATTTAAAAATAAAATCTGGAAAGGGCAAGGTAAATATATAAATATACTGTAAAGGCAGCAGAATGAAGACAATCAAGGTGTGGCTCAGTGGTTGAGCGCCCCTGGGTTCAATCCATGGTACCAATAAATAAATAAATAAATCCTAAATAAATAAATAAATTCATTATAGATTAGGAGATTGAAATTAGAGATACCAATCATATACATATCATAAACCATCAAGGTTTTCCAGTTAGGATGCTCTACTCCTGAGCTTCCTAAGAATTCTTAAGGCAAAAGGATACATAATGAACAGCCATCTCTACTTTTCCTCCCAAATGTTAGCAAATCCAAGGAAGTACCCCCTTCCAAAAAGATTATTTAGTAGGGTATACCACACAAACCTATGGAGTTTTTTAAGAAGCCATAAAGTCATTAACCCCAATTTTCAAATGCATTTCCAAAATGAGTATTCAATGACTCAGGTAAATTTTAAAATGGCTACAATCTCCATGAATCTGATCCTTCAATCTTCCTTTTATGCTGACCTACAGCTAAGTATTCAGACATTGTTTCTTGAGATTTAAACACAACTGCTGACAATAATTTGGGAATAAAAGGGAGAAGAGGCACTGAACCCTAACAAATATATTTCTTTACCTTTCTTTGAAGACCTGAAGCCCTCGAACCAATCCTTCCAGACACAGGAGATCATATCTATTGGCAGGAACGTCGATTTTGTAAAGAACAACATCAGAGGCCCCCTCTGCCTTCACATTACCTTGTTCCTTACTTATTATTTCCTTTTCAGACGTCTAAAACAAGCCAAATCAAAGTGAAAAGGTTAATAAAACTACATTATGCATATTCTTCTCTTCAACAATAGGTTTATTACATCTACAACAAAAACAACATTAAAATATTAAATGCTATAATTGGAGCTGACAGAAAAATACTCAAATTCCTATTCAGTTCAGACATGTAGGATCCTCAGTGATTCCAGAACAGCACAAATCCACCTAAAGAAAATGTCAACAAATACCCACTAGTCAACTCCTGCCTAGCACCTGCTTTTCCAAATAAAATTTTACTGGAAGACAGACCCATTCATTTATATATTATCTGTTATCGCACAGTACAATAGCTGAATTATAACTGAGATAATAACCTCCAAAGCCTAACTTATTTATTATCTGGACCTTTATAGAAAAAGTTTGCCATCTCTATCTAAAAGAACATGAAGGCACCACCAAAAGCAATAATGGAAGTGTCAAAGAAAGAAACACAGAACAATAACCAAAATGTCAAAGAAAGAAAGATAAATCATCAAATAAAAGAATGTATTTCTAGCTGGGTGCAGTGGGACACAACTGTAGTCCCAGCAACTCCAGAGACTAAAGCAGGGAGATCGAAAGTTCTAGGCCAGTCTGAGCAACTTAGCTGAGGGCTAGGGATGTGGCTCATAGCACCACTGGGTTCAATACCCTGTACTGAGAAGGAAAAAAAAAAAAAAAGAATACAATTTGTTATACGATAAAGATTCCATTCCAAATCTAAATCCTGAGCTGAGGGTATAGTTTAGTGATCAAGCATTTGCCTAGCATGCATGAAGCCCTGGGTTTGATTCCCAGCACTGCAAAAAAACAAAAACCCCAAATTGAAATCATCTGGGCACCCAAGCCCAGCAGGAATGTGAGAATGACTGATAATATAAAAGCAAACAAAAACATCTCCAGGCGAGGAAAGTGATCATCAGAAGGTATGAATGAGAATTAGCATAATAGGTACAATCTAGTGACAGTAAAGATATACTGTAAAGACAGCAGAATGAAGGCAACCAAGAGAAGGAGGAGGAACATCACAGGGTGGCAATTTTTAATGCAGTGGCAAAGCTTAGAGTACCTTATTCACCACATTATAGTAGAGAATATATTTCTATTTGCTGTGTCTACAACAGAGAATTTCAAATATAAATTTTTCAATCAAAATAATTATGTTACATCCAACTGTTATTGTTACCCTTTATTTAGAAATCCCACTTAACAAGAATTCACAAAATTTCCACTACTAATAACTTGTTTAAAAATAAACAATGGCTTTCTATTAACATAAAAACTTTGGTTTTACGTGATGCACTCCCACAGCCACCACATGACTAGTTCAAACCACCATAATATGGGAACCAGATAAACGAAGGTATCTGAATATAAAATGGCCTAATTCTTTTGCAGTATGCGGCCACACGTGCACACACGTGCGAACAGCTTAAATCTTTCAATTTTCAGTATCTTTTCTTTTTAAATACATGACAGCAAAATGTATTATAATTCTCATTACATGTATAGAGCACAGTTTTTCATATCTTTGTATAAAGTATGTTCACGCCAATTCATGTCTTTATACATGTACTTTTTTTGCATTACAATTCTTATTACACATATATACCACAATTTTTTATATCTCTGTATATAAAATAGGTTGGCATCAGATTCGTGTCTTCATACATGTACTTTGGATAATGATGTCAATTTTCAGTATCTTATTTTATCAAAAGATCATACGTAACTTTGTGCTAGGCAGTATGATAAATTCTGCACAAACAAAATTAATTAATTTTTTTAAAAAGACCATATGTGAAGACTGAGTTAAATTTGAGAGCAAGAGGGATATATCAAGATGATATAATCTAAACTCCTTACTTCACAATTGAACAGAGTCTAAAATATGAGAACTAGAGAGGCAAAGTAATTTTCTCTGAACACTAAAAACATCACAGTCCACAGATGAATCATCATAGTCTAACTATAAGGTAACAAAGATAAGCAACCTCAGAAAAATGAGCTCATATTCAGAATATCTGAAAAATAAGTATCTAATACATACAATTTCATCAAGTTCCAGACCAAATTCAAAACATAGTTCATCAAATTCTTCGTCAGCTGAGAAGAAAAAAAGAGACCATTAGTTTTAATTTGTTCAGCACAATAAAAATTGTCTATGAATTGTATTTTCTTATTAATAATTACCTTTTACACTCAGCATACTAAATATCAAACATTAGACATCATCATTCAACAACAATCAAAAGTTTTGCTTAAAAAAAAAAACTATTGTAGGACTAATTGCTCAGGTACAGGATTAGATTACCAGTGTTGGGAAGTTTGAAAAGATACAAGGAAAAAACAACAACCTACTAAATGGCTCCAAGCCACCAATCCTACACAATAGAACATCACATAAGCCCAGTTATCCTTTAAAATTCTCTGAGGCCATCAGACACCTGACTTCACAGCCAAGCTAATCAGGGTTTAGAATTCTGATTATCCCACTTATTAGCTGTGGGAGCTTTGTATCTTTTATAAATATTCCTGGCACCTATTTTAAACTTTACCAATATCTCATCCATAAAGTGACCTTTTACAGTTATTTTTAACATGGAACTGTTACAAAGATTTAAATGACATCAGGCAGATAATGGAGTGGGCATACATCCTGAAATACAGTGTGTCTACACTAATATTTTCCTTCCTTATTCCACTTTCTTTGATACAGCATTTTCAGAGTTTTCACATGATCAAAAACTGAACACAAGCTGGGCACAGTGGCACACAACTATAATCCCAGTGGCTCAGGAGACTGAGACAGGAGGATTGTGTGTCCAAAGCTAGCCTTAGCAAAAAGTGAGGCACTAAACAACTCAGTGAGACCCTGTCTCTAAATAAAATACAAAACAGGGCTGAGGATGTGGCTCAGTGGTCAAGTGCCCCTGAGCTCAATGCCTGGTCCCAAAACACAAACAAAAAAATGGAACACAAACTATCTACCAGTACATTCTAGTGAAAAGCTGTCTTAAGATTCCTGACTATGGAACAGATGTAAAGCTCAGTGGAAGAGTGTATTCTTAGCATGTGCCATGCCCTAAATTCAATTGCCAGCATCAGGAGGTGAAAAAAAAGATTAATCTAATCCAGACACTGAACTTCAACTTAATAAATATTTATTGAGCAACTACTATATGACAGGCACTTAGATGCAGAGCTACAAAGATAAATACTCCACTACTTTTTAGTCTAGCGAAGAAATCAAAAGTGTACTGGGTCAGCATATGCAAGAAAAAAGGAGGATGAGCTCTGGGTCAGCTTCCTCAATTACACCAGACCAAAATTAGAACTGCCTTGTACACAGTTAAGACGGCAGAGGAGACTGAAGAAATGGGATCAGGTAAACTGCTGGTCAAAGCAGAAGAACTAGAGAGACCTAAAGAACTGAAAAAGTTAAAAATCACCCACGTGTTTGATTTGGCTGAAGAAGTAAGATGACTAAGAAAGTGGATACTCATCTAAAGAAGCCAAATCCTTCCCAAAATTTCCACCACCAATAACTTGCTAAAAATAAACGATGTCTTTCTACTAACATAAAGACTTTTTGTTTTGCTTCTTCAAGCAAAACAAGAAAGAAAAAGAAAGGTCAATGTCCCTTCACTGTGCTGTCACTCCCTCTGGGTCAGGGCCATGCTTCCAGAACACTGAGAATAGAAGGAAGCCAGCACAGATAGCAAAGAAGTAACAAAAGTTCTGAGAACAAAAACCAGGAAACCAGGGGAACCAAAGAAGAAAAGACACTGAGAATTTCCAAAAGAAACCAGATAAGTGGAGAACACATTCATGTGTTCAGAGTTATTTTCTACAGTATATTTACAGAAGGTACAGGTGCCACGGCAGTTTTATTGTGTATTATAAAAAACAAATATTTTTCATTCCCTGAGCTTCTCAAAAGACGTTTTTGTACCTGACCTAACTTTCTGTTTTAAAATCAGAGTTACAGAGGTGTCAAAAACATACATTGGAAAAAAGAGACTCTTCAACAAATGGTGCTGGGAGAACTGGAAATCCATATGCAGCAAAATGAAATTAAACCTCTATCTCCACCATGCACAAAACTCAACTCACAGTGGATCAAGGACCTAGGAATTAGACCAGAGAATCCTCTCCTAATAGAAGAAAAAGTAGGCCAAATCTTCATCATGTCAGCCTAAGACCTGACTTCCTAAACAAGACTCCTAAAGCATAAGAAGTAAATCAAGAATCAATAAGTGAGATGGATTCAAACTAAAAAGCTTCTTTACAGCAAAAGAAACAATCAATAATGTGAAGAGAGAGCCAATAAAAATGGAGAAAAATCTTTACCACACACACACATCTGATAGAGCACTAATCTCCAGGATATATAAAGAACTTAAAAAAAAAAAAAAACTTAACACCAAAGAAATAAAGAACCCAAACAAAAAATGGGCTAAGGAACTGGGAAGACATTTCACAGAAGATTACAATCGATCAACAAATATATGAAAAAATGTTCAACATCTCCAGCAATTAGAGAAATGCAAATCAAAACTACCCTAAGAGTTCATCTCATTCCTGTTAGAATGGCAATTATCAAGAATTCAAGGAACTGGGGTTGTGGCTCAGTGGTAGAGAGCTTCCCTACACGTGTGAGGCACTGGGTTGGATCCTCAGCACCACATAAAACTGAAATAAAGATATTATGTCCACCTATAAGTAAAAAATAAATAAAAAAGAATTCAAGCAACAATGAGTACTGGCAAGGATATGGGGAAAAAGGTACACTGATTCATTGCTGGTGGGACTGCAAACTGGTGCAGTCACTATGGAAAGCAGTAAGGAGGTTCCTTAGAAAACTTGGAATGGAACCAGCATTTGACCCAGCTCTCCCACTCCTCAGTCTACACCCAAAGAACTTAAAATCAGAGTACTACAGTGATGCAGTCACATCAATGTTTATAGCAGCTCAATTCACAATAGCTAAACTATGGAACCAATCTAGATGCCCCTTATAGCTGAATGTATAAAGAAACTGTGGTATATATACACAATGGAATATTACTCAGCCTTAAAGAATGAAATTATGGCATTTGCAGGTAAATGGATGGAGTTGGAGAATATCATGCTAAATGAAGTAAACAGATCCCAAAAAAACAAAGGCCAAATGTTTTCTTTGATGAATGCTATTCATAATGGGGGTGGAGGGGCAAGGAAAGAATGGAGGAATTTAGGATTGGCCAGAGGAGAGGGGATGAGAGGGTGTATGTGTAGTGGGGGAAGATGTTGGAATAAGACAGACATATGTACAACCAGAGAAATGAAACACTGGGCTCCATTTGTGTAAAAAATTAAATTAAATTTTAAAAAATCAGAGTTATATTTCTTTCAGGACATTTTGTCCCAAAGCAACAAAATCTGTGATATTGCTAGCAGTCTAATTCTGTTATTAGTATATAAGACACATTTATAAAGACCTGATTCTGTGGCTTAAATCCAGCATTTCACCTCTGAAAGTCTGCACTACTAGGCAGGTGTCAGGTGTTGTAAATGTGTGCAGGGTCATGTTTAAATAATGAAGCCATAAGCCCCAAGTCAGTGGGAACCCAGTCTACTTTGTTTAGCTCTAATCAGCAACACCAAAAAAAGTCTATGTTGAAAATATGCACTCAATAAATATGTCTATTAATGAATGGATTTACACGAAAATTGGGGAATGGATGGGTGTGTCTGAAAGGACAGCCAAAAATGCATCTTAATATGCAAGAATTTGGATAATACTTCTTTTCTAGAGAACACGTGGACAGTTAACCACTACTTTTTAACTATGGCTTTTTAAAAAAAGTCTTGTGCGCATCTTCTTAACATCTTACCTGTAACATTTTTATATTTGCTTAATAGCTAGTTACTTTGTATACTGGAAATTAATGTTGTTTAACTATTAAATGTGAACTGATATTTAAAGAAGAAAGAAGAAATAGAAAAAGGAGAAAGAGTGCAATTCATGACATACCAAGAAATTTGCCCTCTGTCCTACCTACAAGCAATGGCATTACATTGAAGGAGTTTTCAGCTGGGCAAACACATAATTGGATCTGCTTTTGTTTTCTTTCTCCAGTGAGGGGGACTGAACTCTGAGTCTCTCAGACGCTGGGCAAGCATCCTACCACTGAGGTACATCTCCAGCCCTYGATCTGCATTTTAAAAACTGATGGAAGGGTAGAGGATGATTGTAGCAGGGAGTCTTCCCAGCAGCATGAGTATGAAGGAGAAGGAATGAACATGAGAAATGTTAATGAGGCAAAATGTGTAAGGCTTAATGGTTGACTGAAGGCAGGTGGAACAGCCAGGATGTCCAGGATGATTCCCAAATTTCTGGTTTTAGGGAAAAAAAGGCCTCATTAACTAGTATAGGTAATAAGAGAGGTAACCAGCCCCCAAGATGGCACCTGATGATTCAGCCTCCTAGTATTCAAGCCCCTGTGTGAACTTAGGTCAGATGCAATGTAGGTGAGCATGGAAGCAGATTCTCTGGTTCTGCTAAACCTTGAGACGAAGCAGTGCCATTTGACAGCTCCATTTGACAGCGTGACTGTCAACCTGGTGAGAGATTCACAGCCAGAAGCACCCAGCTAAGCCCTCTGATTCTTGCTTCTCAGAAACTGTGTGAAGTAATAATGGTACACTATCTCACACTCACAGTGCTGGTGTAAATTATTATGTACCAATAGACTGTTAACACACACCTCCCTGGAGGTGCAGTGCTGCTAWAACAAAAACCAAACTCTGGAGGGCTTTGGAACCAGACAGCAGGCTTTGAGTACTGTAATGAAATCCTAAGGGCCTTCAAGATGCTACTGATCAAAAGGCAGGTGAGGATGCAAAAGAGAGTGCTACTAGAAAGCAGAAGAAGGGAAATCCTTGGTATGTAGAAGCATAAAGTTTAAAAACACCAGCCTGCAATTAATGTAGACCATTTACTAAGTGACTTAAGATTTTCAATGAGTGTTCAAAGTGCAGCCTGATTTTTTTTTTCCTGCTGCTCACGTGAAAGAAGGGATAAACTAAAGGAAGGAATGTTAAACAAAACGGAGTCAGGATGTTGATGATTTTTTAAATGCTCAGCCTCAGCTGGGCACAGTGGTGCACGCCTATGATCCCAGCTACTTGGGAGGCTGGGGCAGGAGGGTTGCATGTTAGACATCGTTAGAGTTTAGCTTTTGTCCCCCAAAAGCTAACGTGTTAGAAAATGCAAGAATTTTCAAAGTTGGAATGATTCAATTATGAAAGCTTTACCTTTGGATTAACTGAATGATAACTATAGGCAGGAAGGGTGTAGCTGGAGGAAGTAGGTCACTAGGGGCATGTCTTTGGGTTTTGTATTTTGTCTTTGGTGAGCAGAGCTCACCCTCTGCTTCCTAGTGCCATGTCCTGAGCTGCTCTGCCACAGCCTTCCACCATGATGCTCGCTTCACCTCAGGCCTAGAGCAATGCAGTCAACATATGGACTGAACCGCTGAAATCATGAACCAAAATAGACATTTCCTCCTCTAAGTTATCCTTGTAGAGTATTTTGGTCACAGTGACACAAAGGTGACTAAAACAGACATCTTGTCTCAAATTTTTAAAAATTATTTTTAAAATGGCTAGACATGTAGCTCAGTGGTAAAGTATCCTGAGTGCAATCCTTAGAACCCACCCCCCCACCAAAAAAGTTCAACCTCTCAGATGTAAAACAATGCTACAATTAAGAAATATCTTCTGCCAAGTGCAGAGGCACCTGCCCATAATCCCAGCAACTTGGGAGGCTGAGGAAAGATGATCACAAATTTGAGGCCAGCCAGGGCAACTTAATGTGACCCTATTTCAAAATATAAAATAAAAAGGGCAGAGGATGAGGTTCAGCAACAGAATGCCCCTGGATTTAATACCCAGTGTGAAAAAGAAAAAACAGATTTAAAAATTTCTAAGCAAAGAGCAAACCTAAGGCATAAGACAGAATTAAGAGCATGACTGAAAAATGTTAAAGAGTTAGAAAAATCAAAGGCACAATTCATTCAAACAAAAGGTGCTATAAAGAAATTAAGGGTGTGCCTCAGAAATCCAATTAATCACACAATAGATCTTAATTAAGAACATTGTATGAAGCAAAGTCCAAAGCACAGAGATTTGCAGATGGTAAAGCTTTTGACTAATGAAATGGAAGCCAGGAAAATTCACTAAAGATCCATAAAGTTTTTAGAAGAAATGTACAATCAGAAACATTGCCAGCTTAAACTGAAAGAGGCATACATGACACAAAATAGAAGTATTTGACCCTCAAAATTCTATTAGAGGATGTAGACTGAGAAAATCAATCAGCTGTGAAGCAAATGCTTCTGGGAATCAATGGGTAGAACCAAGAGGCAAGAGCACAGAGTCATGGAGAGAATTATCCCAAGTCCTGAGACCTAATCAAGAACACTGAACATTTGCCATTTGATTTCAGAATTGCCACAGACTAGAGACTTTGGCTCTTCTATTTTCTCCCCTTTTGAAGAGGAATGGCTATAGTAGCTATCCTTCACCTGTCCCAACAGTGGACAGATAACTTGGCTGTTGAGTCTCTCAGGCCAAGAGTAAACTGAACTTCAGGAGCTATACTCAGATGATAATATTTTGGATTTTTGAGCAGCTGCTGAAACTAGATGGCACTTGTGGTACTAACTCTTCTGCATGTAGGAGAACATGAATTACTGTGGGCCAGGCAGAAGACTGTAGTCATCAGCTATCAAGAAGGCCACCAATGATACCCACCTCCTTAAATACTCCCCTTCCACACAGAGTCAGGATTAGTCTGTGTGACCAAGTGAATATGAAAAGGGACAGTATATCATTTCCAAGTCATTATTAAAAACTGAGGTTTCTGCTTAAGCACTCTCCCATTTATCTGCTCTCTCAGACCTCTCACTCTGGGATGAACAAACTAACATGTTATAAGCAGTCTTATAGAAAAGTCAAAGTGGAAGGAAATAAAGTCTCTAGCCAAACATCAGCAAGGAATTAAGAGCTACCAACAAGCAGTTAGAAAAACTTGGAAGCAGAATCTCCAGCCCCAGTGAGGCCTTGAGATGACTACAGATCTGGCCAATACCTTAACCACAACCTGGTGAGATCCAGAGCCGAACCACCACTCCCCAGTTCTTGACCATAAGAAACCACACAAAATAACAAATGATTATTGTTCTAAGATGCTAAGTTTTTGAGGTATTTATTACATAGTAATGGACAACTAAATGGTTATTAACCAAACTGCATATAACTATTGCCAACCATTACTCCAAGCCAAAATAGGGTCAGAATTAAAGACCAGTGATAACAAATCAGTTAACCGGCATGTATGTGACACAGGAAACTATATGAGCAATAAAAAGGCAGACTAAGAAGATAAAACTGCTCCAAAGTAGGCAGAGGAACCAAGGACCAGATTAACAAAACAGCCAAGAGAGAAGCATCTTTGACTAGAAAACACACCTGGAAGGGGATGTTTGCAACTGGAAGAAACTACAGAATTCAGATAGAAGATAGTCTTGGGAGGATCTGAAAAAAAAGATAAGAATGTAGGAAAAGCGTGAAAACATGTAAAAGAGGAAAACGCAAAAAAAAAAAAAAAAAAGAAGAAGAAGAAGAAACGAGATGAGCCTATGTTATTTGGAAACCAGATGCTTTGCTAAACACTCTGACCTCAACCCAATTGATACTTAAAGTTTCAAGAAAGAACACAATATAAATTAATGATGAATATTACTCCTAACTCATTTGAAATACATCTCAAAAACACCAATATTTATTGTCAAAATTTTTTTAAGACCCAGTAGCTAATAAATATTCTCTGTGGAACCAAAAAAAAAAAAAAAAAATCAAGCTTACCTGATCATTCACAATATGAGAAAAGAGTGGGGAGGGGTAGAGAATATGGCAAAAAAAAACTGGATGGTAGTAAAGAGGTTATAAAAAAAAACTTACTTTCCCAAGATGGAGATCTGGCTGGGAACTGACTATAGATGTTTAAAACAAATATTTGCCACCTACCATCTTGTGCCATTCAGATATATCACACACTACTAGTGAAACTGTGGATTAAAAATATACAATATATAAAAAAGAATTTTATATTATAAAAAGTGGTTAAAGAATTAGAGTCAAGTTCAAAGTGTGAGGGTATTACCTCTACTTTCCAGGAGTTGGAACAGAACCTATGGAGAATAATAGTTCCAGAGTAGGTAATATCTAAAGGTACTCCTTCGCCTAGCAAGATAGCACAGAGCTGTAATTTCAGCAATTCAGGAGGCTGAGGCAGGATCACAAGGCTAGCCTGGGCACTTTAAAGAGACCCAGTCTCAAATAAATAAATAAAAAAGGCTGGAGATGTAGTTCAGTGGTGGAGCAGCCCTGAGTTCAATTCCCGGTATCACACACACACACACACACACACACACAAAAAAAAAAAAAAAACCAACACCAAAAATAATAAAAGTACCCCTTCAGAAAGTTTTTGTTTGTTTTGTTAAAGATAGGGTCTTGCTACATTGCTTAGGGCCTCACTAAATTGCAATGTTTATCAAACTTGCAATCCTCCTGTGTCAGCCTCCAGACTCACTGAGATTGCGGGCATGTACCACACCTGGCTTATTCAGAAAAGTTTTTTTTAAAAGCTAACTCTGTTTTCACAGTAATGGTAATCTCTTATTCTAAGAAACTGCACCTGCGATTCAATTGATTGGAGCTTTGTTATCATCTTGACATTTAATACCAAACAAACAAAAAACAGGTCTCACAAATTGCTTGCTGTGGCCTCTACACACAGATAACTACTGGGTGGGGAAAATATCATTTTGACTCTTACAGCTGTGTGGCAACTGATAACTTACTTAACATTTCCCCTCTGTGTGTTTAATGGTGGTATTTTGGGAACTGAGGAAAGGATGAGGTACAGCGTGAAGAATAAACCCATCCCACATATTCATCATCCAGGTCCCAACTCAGTGCTACCAACCTTATCAAATGCTGTTCCCAGCACATCACCTGCTTTTCTTTCCCTGACAGCACTTAACATTATCCAGAATCATTTTATTAGAGTGCTGGTTAGTTGCTGTCCGCCCTGTTCATCAAAGCAAGAACGTGGACCTTCAGTGCCATGGGCACAGCTGTACTCCCCAAAACTTAGAACACTGCCTGACACTAAGAGCCATTCTGGAAGCATCTAACAAAACAGAGACCGATGGGAATGTCGTCCCCTCTCTTCTGCTCAAACTCCTCCCGCCCCTTTACCAGCCGAGTCAAACAGCACACTACCGTGCCCACGCTCGGGGCGAATCCAGGGGATGCCTCTTATTCTGTACGGGGGCACTAAAGTCGAGGCTAGGCACGCAGAAGGCACTTGATGCCGATAGTGACCGAATGACACTGAGAGCTGGGCACGTGCGGGTGGCACACGCGCGGTGAAGCCGCTCGCGACAATCCCTCCGAGCAGCCGAGCCGCTTGCTATGCAGCCTTCCCTGTGGACCCTGACCGTCCTCAAGGCCAAAAGGTGCAGGACACCTTCAGTGCTGCCACAACGCCCTTTTGGAGGGCGTCCCAGCCCCCGAGGAAAGGCGCGGAGCCCACTCACTGTAGGTCCGTCCCAAAGCTTTGAAGAGCAGATCGCGCTTCACGCTGACAGTCGGCATGGCGAGTCGGGCCCACTGCGCCTGCGCGCGGAGCGGGCCAGGTCTGGGCGACCCAGGAGCGTAGGACCCGGGACTTCTCATGCAGGCTGTCATAAATATAGCCAGTCTACAGACGACAATTTTTTCTCCATTTTTTTTGTACATGAGTACAATAAAATTGCCTCCATTAGGATGATTAAATCTATCTATTTTTTTCAATGACTTAAACTCTTGGTAAGGAGACATAATTGAATAGAGTTGGCTAGGATTTGATAGGCAATAGAATGGACAGACCTCAAGGTCCCGGATCTAACGTGCTAGAACGAGGGTCACCAAATTCAGTGGGCSGGGCGAGAGAGGGGCGGGTGCCTAGAAAGGCTGGGCGAGAAGGGGCGGAAGTCGGGACGGGCAGGCTCTGCGGTTACAGAAACTTCTCCTGAGGGTTGGAAAAGAAGGAGCGCAGGGTCTGACTTCCTGGATGGAAGGATGTGTAAATACAAGGTTTTGTTTTATTATTTACTTTTTTTTTTTTTTTTTGCGGAAGGGGATGTTGTGAACACGCCTTAATTTTATTTTTTAAGCCCTTATAAGTGCAGTACCTTATAAGGGCTTGATATCTGGCAGCGGCCACTTCTGGTGGAGAAGTATTGTTAGAGACCTCTTTTTAGAAGAGGGAATATGCGATTTATTAATGCTGCCTGCTGTCGGGTGCTGTGCTCATCCCTCGGCCAGCAATAGAAGATTTCCTCTTTAAAACAACCCCGAGTGTAATTGAAAGATTACAAAAAATATCGGGCCCTAATCCCTGGAGCCTGTAAATGTTACTTTATATGGAATCGGGCCTTGGTAGATTAAGAATTTTGAGATGGAGAGATTATCCTAGATTATCAAGATGGGCTATCAGTGTAATCACATGTGTTCTTATAAGTGGGAGGCAGAGATCGGAGTGTGGCAGCCCCAAACCGACCATGCCAGCAGCCTCCAGAAACAGGAAGATGCAAGGAGAGAGTCTCCCCTAGCCCTTGGAGCAGCCCTATGCACACTTGGATTGTGAGCAGTGAAACTGCTTTTGGGTTTGGAGCCTCCAGGACAATGAATGAATAAATTTTTGTCTTAGATCCACAAGTTAGTGGTAATTTGTTTCAGAAGCCCTGAGAAACTAACACACTCAGGCAGATTCCATTATTGTCCCCATTTTATAGATGTCCCACTCACCCAACTTGCAAGGCTCCCGGTTCCTCAGGGGAGCCCTGCCCTTATCCTCTGGGTGAAGTACAATGAAGGCACTTCACTTGAGGAGATAGAAGCTGGGCAGGACTCAGGCCACCCTGTTAATCAAGCAGTCATTGACTATGTTAGTTTTTCTTCATGGCCACAGGAAGTCCCCAGTGAACAACATAATAGACATGCAAACATCATGTGAATGGCAAAACCCTAATGCCATATACAACTTTCTATCCCAAATCGGTGCTTAGAACTCAATTAAGGAATAAAAGACCCAGAATTAGTGTGTCCTCTGGGTACTCGAGAGTGTTCTGTGGCATCTGAACTTCAGTTACCTCATCTATAAAATAGAGATAATCACACTTTTATAACGTTTAGAAATAATTCTCATAAATAACTTGTCTGGGGTCTAGGGTGTAGCCCAGTGGTAGAATGTSTGGCTGGCATGCTTGAGGCCCCGGGTTCCATCCCCAGTATCACAAATAACAAAAAACAGACTAGTATAGTTCTTATCAAGTCATTGGTCCTGGAAATAGGTCTGCTGTCCTGTCCTTGTAGTCAGTTTCCTACTAGTCTCAGACCATCTGGGAACACTATGTTCCCATCTCCCGCATCCCCCAATGCATCTATTCTGGTTTTTATCATTGTACACATTGCAGGTACTCTGCACCTTCTCTATGTCTAGCTGAACTGTTAGAAGATTCTAATGGAAAAGCGAAAAGTAGGCCATGAGTACTCATCACACGTGACATTAGCTGACTAATAGACAAATCATTGTAGCATTATAATATATTTTTATCTAGAATAGTTATCTTTGATACTTTCTCTTTCAAAAGTTTTGTGACTACTGGCTCGTGTTATTTTTTTAAGATGGAATTCTGAATTTTTTCAAGTTCTAAAAAACATTCTTTTCATTTACTATGAATCAAACATAATTCATGGATTATGGAATCTTTAATCCATAATTCATGGATTATGGATTAGGAATCTTTCTATCCAAAAACCATAACTCCATGCAAGTTCTTTCATTGTTATTTCTTCTTCTCATGCAAGGTGTTGACTATCTTAGGTCTTTGAACCAGCAGTTTCCTCCACTTAAAATCTACTGTATCCAGACTCCATAGAGCTACATTCCTCCGCTGCTTCAAGTATTCTCAAGAGTCTTATCCTTGCCCCTGCAATTTGTTATGGTTATTAGGTATAAACATCTCTCCCTACTAAAACATACATTCTGTAAGAGCAAAGGTTCTTACCTGGCACACAGCAATCCCTTCCTTCAATATTTGAAGTTTTCTTTTAATGACAGGAATACTAGTAGAGGAGATTGCTATCCAGGCTGCTCTGGGACATGAAACCAAGAAAGCAGGTAGGCAGCTTCTCAGTAAGGTGGCTGGAAAAAAARTAGGAGTTTGGGGAATTAATACTGAACATTCAACATCCTTCTGAGTCCCTGAGCTGCTTTGAATGTTCAGTATTAATATACTTGTAAATATATACTTAAATAGAAAAAAATTAGATAAAGGAAGTGAAAAGCAATTTGTTAACTACAAACAAAATGGGAGGGGGSAATGCAACTTAAAACCACAATGAAAGCAGAGATATTTTCTCCAAAGGAGATTATCAAAAATTAAATAAACCATCACACCCCATGCTGGCAAATATTTAGTAAGTCAGCACTCTTAGACACTCCTGTGAGGAATACAAAAGCAGTTTGATAATGTGAATTAACACATTATCAAATATTCTAAGTAAATAGACAGGTAAATATCCTTTTCAATACAGAAAATTTTGAAATAMTCTAAACATTGAACAATTTGTTTTGAATAAAGTATGATACCTGTATGCAATGGAATGTTATGCAAACATTAAACATAATGTAGGATTGGGGGTGTAGCATGTGCAAGGTTCTGGGCTCCATCCCCATGTAGCAGAAATAACAATGACAATAATAATAATAATATTGATTGTTTTATGTACATATGTATTTCTTCTTTTATGTACTTTTTTGTTTGTTTGTTTATTTACTTACTCTTGTGGTTCTGGGATCAAACCAGAAACTTTTTCTATTTCTAATGAGGAATGTCATTGGGATTTTAATTGGAATTGCCTTAAATCTGTATTACACTTTTGGTAGTATGGCCATTTTGACAATATTAATTCTGCCTATCCAAGAACATTGGGAGATCTCTCCATCTTATGGTCATCTTTAATTTCTTTCTTTAGTCTTCTATAGTTTTCATTATAGAAGTCTTTCGCCTCTTTTATTAGATTGATTCCCAAGTGTTTTTTTTTTCGGAGGCTATTGTAAATGGAGTAGTTTTCCTGATTTCTCTTTCAGAGGATTCATTACTGATGTATAGAAATGCATTTGATTTATGTGTTTATTTATTTTATATCCTGCTACTGTGCTTAATTAATTTATTAGTTCTAGAAGATAGAAAATCTTTACCTCGTGCACATCAGATAGAGCACTAATCTCCAGGATATATAAAGAACTAAAAAAGCTACCAAAAAAACAAATGACCCAATCAGTAAAAGGGCTAAGGAACTAAGCAGACACTCCACAGARAAAGATACACACTCAATCAACAAATATATGAAAAAATCTTCAACATTTCTAGCACTTAGAGAAATGCAAATCAAAACTGCTCTAAGATTTCATCTCACTCCAGTCAGAATGGCAATTATTAAGAATATAAGAAGGCACATTGGCCTACATCTATAATTCCAGCAGCTCAGGAGGCTGAGGCAGGAGGATCTGGAGTTTAAATAAAGCCTCAGCAATGGCAAGACATTGAGCAACTCAGTGAGACCCTGTCTCTATTTTTTTTTTTTTTTTTTTTTTTTTTTTTAGATTCAAACAGCAATTCTTTATTTCCGAACTCACACCGGCCCTCTATAAACACGTTCTGGGGAAAATTCATGTTCTGGGCAAAATCCACGTTCTGAATCCCAAATACTCTGGGAGTGGGCGTGCCTGAGGCAGCAGGATACGCCCTATTCCCAGCAGGGTACACTTTAAACCTGGAACCGCCCTAAACCCAAGGAGCAGGATACTCCCTAAAACCTGATCCGCACTAATCCAGTAGGATCCTCCTTAAACCCGGATCCACCCTGGTCCTTGAGCAGGGTCACCTTTCTCACATGTACATGCAATGTCACTGCAAATCCAAGGCAAGTCCATTTCCACGAGTCCTTCCTCTAAGCAACATGGGGTACGCTGGCAAGGAAATTTCGATGCGTCATTCCTACTTGGCAATGGCTCTCAGCATCTCCCCCCTTCTGATTAATTAAACAACAAGCAATGTGGCTTAAGGACCGTGCCTGGTAGGTTGGCCAATTCAACATATGGTTCTTACCCGTCATGGGAAAAACTGACCTCTAGGTGTCAGCCTCCTGTCTTAGGTTGATACCACTGCAATTGGATCACGCCCGTCACTGACTACCGGTCCAGCATACAGCCATACTTGTGGATAGGCCTGTGCACCAGTTGGGGGGTGAGGTTCTTGCCTCACCTCTGTTGGCCCCCAAATTTTAGACCATCACTAGCAGAAGGGAGGAGGATACAGAAATGCCACGACACCAAGCCAGTTGGCGGCTCCTTTGGAAAAATTGCATCACTGGTGACACTGTCTGTAAATGAAATACAAAATAGAGCTGGGAATACGGCTTAGTGGTCTTTTAGTGCCCCTGAGTTCAATACCCCCCCGCCAACAAGAAACCATAAGTGTTGGTGAGGATGTGGGGGGAAAGGTACACGCATACATTGCTGGTAGGACTGCAAGTTGGTGCAATCACTCTGGAAAGCAGTATGAAG